GCACACAGATTCCCAGGTTCCCCCAACACACACCTGCATTGTCGGTCCCACCCCCTCCTGCAGTGATGTGAACTGCTGAAGACATTTTCACTGGTCCCAGCACTCCTCTTCTTGGAGACTTCCTGCAGTGGCACCTTGTTTCTGGCATGGAGTGTACATGATCAGGAAGTTCAGATGTTTTTGTTAGAAGTTAAAAAACAAAGGGGTTTTTTACTCCAAAAGGAGGTTTCCTCTACACATATCAAATTTAACCTTAAATTAATTATAAATGTAGCAGAAGTGTTAATACTTGGTATTCTTGCACTCTAAACATTCTTGTGTGCTAATAATCTAATCTGTGTTTTTACTGACTACAATTTATATTTACGTAAAAAAGATACTAAATTTACTGTTACTGATGCATGATTCTTTCTAATAGTCGGACGCACAATGAAGGTCATCCAAAGTGGTTCGTTCTGGGTGTTGGACAAGTCATAAAAGGGTTAGATATTGCTATGATGAATATGTGTCCTGGAGAAAAACGGAAAGTAACGATTCCTCCATCACTAGCATATGGACAGCAAGGATACGGTAAAAAAGACATTTAAACACTAAACTTTGTCTTTTCTCTGTTTTACCCTTTCAAACATACAGTATTGTAAATGTGTGTAAGAACTGGTACTCCCATTATTTTTGGAGGCACTGCAGCTGTGCAGCCCAATCCTGCTCATTCCTGTGCAGTTTAAGTCCTTGTCATGGACCTACCCAGGCCTTGCCATTTGCATTAGAACTCAGTACACAGCACCCAGTGCATTTTTCCAGGTATTGCCACAATATGAAAAATTGACAGCAAAAGGAAGATCTTTGTGATCCATATCAGCATTTTTTGTCCTAATCTATTAAATTCTAGTCATGTTTAATTTCTATGATTTCACTTCTACCTGCTTAGCCTTTTAATGACAATTTGCATCTTCTGACTAAAATGGAATGTAATGCAGTGCAGATAATAGAAGTAGAAATAATTTGCTTAAAATACTGCTTACCCTCTGGATAGTTAATGGATATCATCATCACATTACACAGTAATTGCAACAGTGCAATGCATGAAATCCGATTTGAATAGGAGATAATTCAGTGTGCAGATCACTTTAAAAAAAGTTCCAGTCTGAGTTTATGGAGCGTTTCAGCACTCAAATATAGCTAAATTCAGCTCTGACATAGATGTAGTAGTTTCTGTGAAAAAGTAGCTCCTGATATATAATAAGTTGGTAGTGATATGTCAGAATTCAATGTATCAGTTTTGTCTTTCATACAATTTCATACAAAAAGAAAAAACACTGATACAAATAAAAGATGTTATTTACCTCTAATAATAGTGTTAACTGTTTATTCCAGGTAGCACTTCAGGAAAGTATTACTTTCCTACAGCATACCTGTCCTCTGTCTCAGCGTATTGCCGCATGCTGGGGAAGATGCCTGCCTAATCTTGAATTAGAAAAGATGCATGTGGCTTTCTAAATCTTTACATGTCTTTCTTTAGTTGGTATGTATATTTGGAAACTACTGGCATTGAATTCTAGTATTGTATCTGTCTTTCGTAAGTAGCATTTAAACCATGACCTATGCATTTAAAACTTCTACTTTTCTAAAGCTTGGAAGGTTAAAATCTTGTGAACTCTGAAACTTGTCGGTTTTACTATGGCTATTTTAGATGAGTAGTGTAATAGTTTTGTTTAGCTTCTGTTTATAAACGAAGTACATCCTTCAGTTTCTAAAGAATGGGCACAAGCTCAAAATTCTGTCAAAATTCCAAGGTTACAATGTCATGCTCACTGGCTCTGGCTATGAATAGAAGCATCTTGCATGTTTACATTTTAATTTTACACTGCATGACTTTTTAATGCTCTTTTGGCACAACTTTTAGACCTCATTAGTTTGTTGCCGTCTCTTTTCAGTTTCCTTTTTCTGATGTGCATGATACATTGACCTGTGTTTATAGGCAGTGCTGTTTTTACATCAGATGTCTGAAAAAGCTTTGATCCAGGAATAATGAAGTTTAATAGGGTTTCTTTTTTAATTAAAAGACCACACAAAATATTCCAGTAGTTTGGAGGGGTTGTGATTTTTTTGGTTTGGTTTGGTTTGGTTTTGGTTTTTTGTGAATCTGTTTTTTGATGACTTCCACTCTATTGCTTCTTTCTGAAATGTACACTTTAAACAATTTTTTTACATCAAAATTCTTTCAGCATAGGTAGAATTCATAGCAGGTGGGTAAAACATGATGTTACCTGTTTGTTTCTTCAGAAAGAGTATACATACGAGCGTTGGTCTTTTACCAGTATTTCAAATCAGATTGAAATTATTAATATTTGAAATCAGATTGCAGATATTTAATAAAGACATACATCTTAGAATCAGTCTCTTAATAGGCACTGTCATATGACAGGATGTGAAAGAGTGAGAACTCTAGAAATATTTTTCATGATTACCCTTAATCTCTATAAGTATCTGAATTGATATGAGTGATATGATTTTGTTTCAGGGAAGTACATGGTTAGCAAGTTCCTCTCAAAATCATTTATCTAACACAATGGAACAATCTTCCTGTCTAGATGTACAGTATTTAAAGTTTAATCTGAATATTAACATGGCCTTTTCTAATAAAAAAGTAAAATGTTTACATGTGAATTTAATATATGTGTGATCTCTGATCATAGAGCCTGATTCCTTAAATGCTTTTTTAAATTTTATTCATAGCACAGAGCAAGATTCCACCCAATGCAACATTGATCTTTGAGATTGAACTTTATGCAGTAAATAAGGGACCTCGTAGTGTTGAAGCATTTAATCAAATAGACAAGGACAGTGACAAGAAACTCTCTGCACTTGAGGTAATATTTTTTTTGTAAATATGAATTTTTATGTAAATAATTTTAAATAAATAATTTATAATAGTATAGGTATGATTTCATGAGTTTTATCTTTACATGAGCTGCCTCTGCTGCAGTTGATCATCTGAGGCTTCTGTGTGCTTACACAAGCTACACTGTGCAATGCTGAAATTTGCTTTAATACGTTAACATGTCTCAGATTTCTGCAGACAAACTATAGATGTGTCTGCACTGGAGTCACAATAACTAAGGTGTGTACCCCAGGTGTCCTCAAAGATAGCTGTTGAGTACTGGCATAAAAATCACAACAGTTGGAGGTTTTTCTTTTTTTCTAGATAAGCCAGTATTTGAAAGAAGAATTTGCAAGAGATGGCAAAAAACGTCATCCCTCAGCCCACGATGAAATCTTAGCTGACATATTTAAGAAGAATGACCATGATGGAGATGGCTTCATATCAGCAAAGGAGTACAATGTCTACCAGCACGATGAACTCTAAATACTTAACAAATCTTTGGCTGTTTTCTGGACACTGAATTCTGAATAATAATACTTCATCACAGAACTTTTTGTATTTTTTTTCATAGTGGCATCTTTTTATATCTCTTAAGGTGACTGTAAAAATCTTATTTTTAACATTCAGCTAATAAAATTGTTACATGTTTCAAGAGAAAGAAATAAAATCAGAAAATTATTATTAGTGGTTTTTGCATCATGTTCTGATCTACAGTATTGCTCAGCAGTCTTTCTCATTGTGTAAAATACTGATGAAAATAATTATTTCTGTCCTCTTGAGCACGTAAAAATGGATCCAGTAACTGTTGACATAGCTAGAACATAACTGATGAACACTTCTCAATCCCCTGTTAAATAAAAGGGGAAAACAGAAGCCCAGGAGTGTAGCTCAGTTAGATCCCTGCAGGCTCCCGGGCCAGCTTCTCAAGGAACAGCCACTTGCAGCAATTAACTATAAAAGGCCTTAAAATAAATGAACACTGACTATGGAATGTGAAGGTAAGAACATAAATGTTTTTAAAGCAATTTAAAATAACCTCTGATATAATATTAACATGAATAATTTGGTGTGGATGAGAAAGTAGTATTTTAAGTGAGTTTTTAAGCTTTGATTTAGTAAAATTATTGTTATCGAGTTTATTCAGCAGCACCAAATTAAAAATCTACACTATCATAATTTCCTTAGATGAGATTGAAGATGATGGGAGGTACTACGTATGAACATAAATAATTATTCGGGCATCATTCTGGTTTCCCTCCTGGAAAAATATAAAGAAGTAGCAATAGTTAATAGAAAGTATAGATCTCATTAACTGTTCTGCTTATGCAGATGTCACCACAACACTTGTGTAACATGCTTTACTCTTCTCACATGAAAAGCAATGGCGTGTATTCATTTCAACATGTAATAATCAGTTGTACACAGTGATAGTGGCAGCACAATGGAAAAATCTTCCATACCTGGGTTATCCTTAAAATAAAAGGGAAAAAAAAGTTTTCTTCTTTGCCAGTTTAAAACAGCATGGTGAGAGGTTCAACAGCACCCTACCCAAGAGCATGCCCAGTCCCAAACCTGGACAAAACTCTGTGGTGCCCTCCCGTGTTCCTGTTCTCAATGGGCTTAATTTTCTGTGGTTGAGAAATGCCAGCTAAAGACCTTCACCCCTGAAGTCTTGTTGGATTATGTAGTTCTGCTATTTTCATAAGTTTCCAAAACATTCTCTGCTAAGCAATTTTTTTCTGAACACATAAAAGGAAGTCAAGAGCAGCTGTGACATAAAATACAAATGTAGAAGATGGACTGGCTGGTTCCTTTTTAGGGACTTAAACAAACTTGACATACGGCAAAGGCATCCTAATATGAAACTCTTATCCATAGTTTCTTTGTTCCCTTTTGTAAAGGGAATATTGGACTGAGCTAAGGTTTAGCATGTTTTTAATCTGATACTTCAATTAATCATTCATGAGAACACTAAATTATTAACAAACATTCTAATTTAGCCATCGTGTCAGTGTAGAGAAATGCAACATTTTGGGGGTTTAACAACAAGTTTGTGTAAACAACTTAAAGTAACTTAGCATATATTTTGACATTATGAAAATACAGTTTAAAAGTAAATTTTTCATTATCATGAGAAGGCTCTAGAAAGAAAAAAAAAACAATGTCAGGGAACACATGAGTGTGTTGTAAAAGGTCATTGACTGAAGGAAAGAATTTGAAGAGTGTAATAAAATGTTTTGCACTTTCACTGTTTTGCATTTCACAATTTGAGTCATAGTTACTAAGTCTGAAAAGTTTGTGGCACAGTTATGCCTATGTCAGTGACAATAGGCACTTACCTAGCTCAGTTACTTTAGTCTCTTATGCCAGAGGTCAAAACAGGGCACAGCATGCAGTCGTACGTACTTCTGTCCATTAAAAGAACACTCTAGGCATCCATAGACTGTCTCCCTTTTAGAACTTCCCATTCCGCAGAGGACACAAGGACCTTTGGGGATGTTGTTGTTAAGTAAATTAATTCGGATATGAGAACCATCTCTGAGATAGCTTGTAGAGAGATCAGTCATGCTCGCAGCTTTATCATAATAATCTGTAAAAAGGTCCTCCAGGTAAGGATCAGAGTTAGCAATGATTTCCACTACTCCTTTATCTGAAAAAGAATGCACAAGAAAAAGAAGCAATGATTTCTCACTACATTACGAAATGTTTAAAAAACAGCATCAGCCTAATTATAGAAACAAGTGATTCATGAAACCATTCTAGGCATGTCATATAGATTATTTCCCATCAAAAACCCTGTGTGTTGAAAATTTTTCTGTAGCTTCACATAAGACACTGACAAAAGCCAGAATGTTTTTATATGACCTATATAATTATATTTTTAGAAATATACCTAAAAGATAGGCATGAGGCAAGCTTCTGAGAAATTGGTGCAAAGTCAAACCACAGCTGTGTACTTCCCTGCTTTTATTTTTTGCATTTCTAGTTTTATATTTATATTGTAAATTTGCTTTTCTTTCCTGTTATTTACAAAACAATCCCACTAATACTTAAGAGGTTTAGAAAACTTGGAGGACTCCTTGTTGACCTCCTAGTAGATTTCTAAGCACCCGAATACCCTACCTTTTCCTTCTCTTTTCAGCGATTGACTAGTTTAGATTGAAAAACTTTTAGGCAGCTACAGCTACTGAGATGTGTCATACCCACTGAAGATTTTTTCCCTTAGTGTCAACTGGAGCAGCACTGAAGGCTTGGTCCATAGAAGTCCTCTGATTGAGAAGGTGATACAATGGAGTGAGGACACCTATACAGAGCAGCCTTTAGACATGTTTACTGCTCAGCATTTATCTTCACAGTCAGAATTGCAGATTTCCAAAGGACTTGGGCCAAGGAGTACTAAAAGCATAAGATCTTGGTCTGAAGAAAATACAGCTGCATATAGTAATACTCAGTTTTGCTGCATGTTGTGTTCATATCAGAATGAGTAAAGAGAACTATGATGGTATCTTGCCCGTGTCCCTGCCATGTGAACATACAGCCTAAGGAGTACATTCAAATATTTAAATTAATATTGTTTGGTATTTAAACTTACAGCATCTGCCCTCAAATATTACTATATATTATAACTTGTATTGCATAACATGAGCTGTAAATGGCAAGCATAGGAAATAGGTTCAATGTTAACTGAAGTCAGTTGTAAGTTATTCGATACCAGTTTATCAACAGCCATAATTTTTACTTTAGGATCTTTACAGTTTTACTGAACAGCAATACCATAGATTTGTTATTTCTGAACGAGTCAGATTCTCAAATACAAATTTTAATAACTTCACAATCATTTCAATACACTAGAAATTGAGAGGTACATTGCCCATCCAAATTTCTTTCTTTAAACTTTAATCTTGCAGTGAAATTAAAGAAACAAAAATACATTTTTCATGCATTAAATAAGACATATATTTATATATGAAGTCATACTTCGATGAAAGAGATTATTCTTTAATCTCCTTAGTTTGGTCAGTGAAGATGGTCCAGATTTCTCTTTTTCAAATCCTCCTTTTGCAATTGGAGTCACACAGAGTTCTGTAAAAATGAAAAATATATTTTTAAAAGAACAAAATATAAACCCCAGAATTGCACAACAGAATTTAATGTTTTCTCATCAATAAAGCTAACAGTTATTAAATTCAGCTTTGCTTATTTTTTTAATGGCTAGTACAAGTCTGTGCACTTTAACAGCCCATAGAATTAAGTGACAGTGTTTCAATAGGAATTTTTAAATGTTGGTGGCTTTCCAATAACATCATCAGAGCTTGCTTTGGTTCACACACAAATGGTGGCCATGTTAAGGGACTAAGTCAGTATCATATCAATAGAAGCCCTAATTCTGAAGGAGAAGCATTTCTGTGATCTTATTTGAAACAAAAAATGAAGAATAATAAGCAAGGCTGTGAGTTCTGTAGTCACCTCTTCCAATCAAGTATTAAAACCTTTTTATAAATAAAAATAAGTATCATCTATGATTCTATCTATAACTTGAAAGAAAACCTTTAAAGTGAAATATAAGCTAAGCAATTTTTTTTATTAGTTTCCAATAAGCATGATTATTTCCTCCTAAATATCTTCAGATATCCATATGTGGTAATGATCAGTATCAGACTGAAATTAAAGACCCAATAGAAAAAAAATGTTAACTTAGTTTAGAAGTTTTGTACACTTTTTTGTTTACTTTGGTCTTTTTATTTGCCTACTTTATGCAAAACTAATCAGATAGTCTCATAAGCCTGTTCCTTAAAGGCTAGAAATATAAATAGGTGATTTTTTTTTTTAATGCAATACAACTGCAGGATTAGAAAGAAATACAAAATCATACAAACTGTTAAAAAATATTTCCACAGCAAACTGTTTTCTAGCACCTGCCTTGTTTATCTTTCCAAGCATTTTTTCTCTTAGAAGGTCAGAACACTTATGCATATAACATTAAAGCATACCATTGTATGGGATCAGGGCTTTGTATATCAAGAGTAGTAAAACTATTTTAAAATCTTAAACTTTAAAATTTAAGATTTACTGCCATTTAAAAAATGGCAGTAATTCACATCACTTACCAAAATTACCATCCAAATGAATATAGAGTTCAAATACACTAAAAGCAATAGTTGTATGCGCAGGAAAAACAATGGCTTTGTCCCGCCCTTTAGAATTCTGATCTTCAATAATGTGAAACTATAATTCAGAAAAGCATCAAAAGAAAAAAAAGTTACAATTTTCAATGAAAAAAATAAACAAAATAGCATCTCAAACTGCATGTATTGAGAATTATAATACCAGGAGGAAGCTTTGAAATTGAAGATCAAATAGCCAAAGAGTTTTCTATTAACGCGTTTGTATTTTAATAAAGTTTGATACAGAGATAGTAACTTAACTTGCATCACTCATTGAAAATAACGTGAATGATTTATAAATACTAGTAATGGGCCAAGTCAGAAGATTTGTATGTTCAATTACTCAAATACAAAGAGGGGGAGAGAGATGAAGGACATAAGACAGGGAGTAACATGCCAACCCTCAAAATAATAACAACCTGAAGTTCCAATGTGTTATAGAAGATTATAATAATAATGAAAGATAGGTTATACACTTATTGGAAAGTCAAGCTAAGAAGATGTAAATTCCACATTTTTGCTGAGGCTTCACCCCAAGCAATGGCTCATTGTCTAAACATCCTTCCATGCATTTCCCATCCCTCAGTCACATAAGCATGGCTAACAAAAGACCAACTTTTAAATCACTTTACATCAATACAATAATATTGATTTACTTCAGATTTTTTTTCTGAGCTTACATAATAAAATGCAATTAAATCCAACCATAAAATTTATAAAAATGAGCTTTTTATGCTTGATCATATAAGTAAAAGAACTTTGTCAAACATATTTACCCTCATTGTCTCTCCACGCATTCCAGTATGGACAGTTAATGAGCACTGCCTTGTAGTACGAATACTTTCCATGACCACACATAAAATTTCCATCCTACTTTTTCTTAATTGATGGACTAGACAATGATCAAAGTTTATTTTCCTAAAAAAAAGAGGGAGGCAGGAAGGAAATTCAGATCTGATTATCAATTTACAAAGCAGTTCATAGAATTAGTAACTTTGAATCAGTAAATAGATCACCATAATGTCTGTTTCATAGTGGCAAAACAAATGGCTTAGGAGTTCTCTGGAAACTTAATATTGGCTTTCAGTGCTTGGGAACAGAAGCACTAAGAAATTCAAGGAAAGCCAATAATGTACAAATGTTAGAGACAATGTCTGGGACATTCTGGAAAGTTCAAAGTTGGTCCATCTGACTGATTTTAGTGCCTATAACTGAAAAAAACACCCTGCATCACTTATAAACATTGAACAAACATGAAACAAGGATTGGTTATTCGTCTTATAAGACTAATCTTTTTATCTAGATCCTCTTTCCCCACTCCCAGTTATTAACGATAATGTTTGAAGGTTACAAATAAACCAGGAAAAGGTAGGTACAGAACAAGAGAGGTTATAGATACAAAATAAAATGTACTGCTTGGTAAATAACTACAGGGAAACAATATATGTTTGAAAATGCCAAATGTTCCATCACGCATAGTAAATGATTTACTGGGATGCAACACTGAGATTCACTGGGAAGATATTGTGATGAAGGGACAATCTTCAAAATATAAAATAAAGAACTACACCTAGAATTAGTATCACCATATTTCTACATTTAATATTTGTGCTAGCACCATGGGAACACTCGAGTTCATTTTCAGTGTCCACAGCTCCACAAGACTGCTGGTAAAACAAGACTGGATTTAGAGAAAATTCACAGAAGGTTCTGAAAAATTGAAATAGATGAACCTATTTTGGTATTCAAAGGCTGTGTAATTACTTCATAAACCCTCAAAGTACCTACATTGGCACTAATATATATGGCTCTCCAGTTCATTAAAGGCAAAGAAATCCTGTTTCTGAAACCTGCAGCTGGGTATTGATATTCAAAGTAAATTTCAAATTTTCAATACTATGATATAACATAGATACTCTGAATCTGTACTTTTTTCTGAGAGATGCACTGTAGTTCAAACAAGAATTCAGAAAATGTGTACAGTCTGTAGTATACAGAAGGTCATATGTCTAATCCCAGTGATCCAACCTGAGAACCTTGAAAATATCAGATGGTGACACCTACTGGTTGACTAAAAATAATCAAAACCTAAGCATTTCAGCCTTTCAGCCTAAAAGTATGAAATATAATTATGAAACCAGAAATCAAAATATATACTATAACCTTGTAGAAAGTTCTTTAAGTAATCTTGGTACTTCAACCTCGTGTTTGGTCACTATGCCAAATGAAGCTTTAAAGGCAACAGAATCTGATCCAGCAACATCAAAACCAACATCATTCATTATCTGATTTCCTCTTCTACCATTCAGCGAAACATCAGATTTGTCTTCATAGTTGAGCAACTGGTAAGATGAGACACCTGAGTAAAAGAAGAAAATGGCTGGGTGATGAAAAGTCTGAACACAGTATTTCCACAGAGCAAGAATAAATGGTACCATTCCTACTGAGCTTAACCATTTGGATGTGAAATTCAGAGCCACACTGGGCACTTATTGGTGTTGCTGCTGATGACTGATGGAAAGAGAGTACACAGGAGTCAGAGGGTTTCTGTGCCTTTCTCTGGCCGAATTGTGCCCTTGCTCCTGCATGTGATACGTCCTGGGCATGAAATAATGATTAGGGCTATTCCTAAATTTCTGTGCTTACTATTATTCTCCTAAAGTACTTCTACCTGTAGCTATGCTGTAGGTACACACAAACTATGTATGCCCTGTTTTGTGGCTTTAATAACAGAGGCTCTGAAACCCAAAATGACTCAGCAGAAGCCACACAGAATATTAAAACTATGAATAAAGTGAAAGCCATTGAGTGTAAAAAATATTAGGGAATTCTGAACTGAATCTAGATGCAGTACAAAAGACACCAATGTTTCTTCATTTTTGCAATATGTAAATGAGACATGGGTGTGCCAGTGACATTAACTCTGCCTTTTACCTGACATGTCACATGTAAAAAGACTTACCACACCTTCCATGTATGCCTAATGATTCCAGGGACTATGTCAGTTTATTTTTAAGGAAAAAAACCAGATTAATTCTTACTTGAAGTTTGCCTTAAATTACTGTACAATGAAAAGGAAGGTACCAAAGCATTTCTATAATGCTGTCTTTATAAACTTAAATACATTTCTGTTACACTAATAGGAAATGCATTGGCTGCCAAGTTAAAATGAACACAGGGATTAGACTTCCGAATATATTTAGGAATCTGGGTTTTACTCCTTCTTTTGGTGTTAATTCTTTGAAGTTTTTAGGATAAACTGACATTATGAAGTCAGCTACTATGAATCCTATTTCTCTTTATTTTTAACAAAAATTAAAAGTCATATATTTTTCATAATTATAAAAAGATTACAAACACTTGTCTTTGTCCCATAAAAAAGGAAATTCAATTACAAAGCTCTTTGCTTACGTTAAAGGACAATACTTTCTGCACACGATGTTTAACCTTTACAGAAATGACTAGTAAGCTTTGTTAGATTTTTTAATTATATTTTGCAACTTTTTTCTATGACTTTTTAATGAGATTTTTTTTTTATTCAGGACAAGCCAGCTGAATTTTCCTGAATGTAAGATTAGTAGGATTACTGGGATTACAATTTTTTTCATTATGCTTGAATCCTGGAATCCCCACTTCGTGGGGTCAGCAGGTATTTCTGTCTTTTTGTGCTCATAATGGTTTGTCTTAGAGGAGTTTTTAATTAATGCATTTCTTATGCAATTAGTAACATCAATATTTTTGTCAAAATTGACATATTCTCAAAAAAATAAAGCTATTAAACTATTTTCAGAAAACATGTAGACAAGAATTATACACTTTTCAAAGGAAGATACAGGGAAATACAGCCGGCATAGTTCAGTTTCAAACCTCCTAATTCTCACAGAATCTCCTCAAAAATTAATGTTATTGCATAGCAAAGGCAATTTAAACACAGTTAAGCTCTTTAAATACACCAAAGAGATTACAAATGTGGTAAAAAATCTCACAGAAATCCAATTACATCAGACAGACAGCTCTTGTCAAATGCTTCTGCCTGTGCAGAGCCCAGTTCAGCACAAGGGACTACTAGCATGAACAGCTGTAAAACTGAGGCCATTCTTACACACTTAAAAGTGAATATACAAAGAAAGGTGTACATTAAAAACAAATTTTAAGTAGCAATTAATCAACACACATCAGTACAACTATCAGAAATTTGTGGTTTGTAAAAAAACAAGGCTTAACTGAATTTGTTTCATACTAGTTAAGAAAATAACAAGGCTTTTTAGTATAATTAACTTTCTCTTTTTTTACTATTTTTTAAAAAAGTCCATTTCTTCCTAAGTATTTATTACATAACTAAGCAAGAAAAAATTATCCATTTATTAAAGAATCACCATACTATCTGCACAGTTTAAACTATGTCTACAGTTTATTTACTAGAAAACATGCATTTTTCCACTTTAAAGAAAGATAAAAGTCTTACCTGCAGAAATTTCTTTCTCCCCTTCAAGAATGTCTTTTAATGTGAAAGGTGTTGAAGCAAATTTAGACTTTTTTGAAAGCAAGCATTTTCTTTTTTTAATCACAAGGCTCAGAGGCTGGTATTTATCAGCTTCACTGAGGCTGGGCACTGGAACTAATCTTCCTCCATCACCAACCTGTTTAACAAAGTTTTTGGTTGCAGCAGCAAACATATTATGACATTAGTAATGATAATAATAAAAAGCTTTGTATCATGTGTAACTTCCAGACATCAAGCCCATGTTCAATTCTTTTTATAATATTCTTTCAAACAAATTAACATGCTTAAAATAAAAAAATAAATAAAGGCTGTCAAACTGCTTTTTTTTAGATTGAGTTATATTTCACTTGGAAAGAATCGACAGCATCTTAGCTATAAAACTGATGTGGTGTATTGCTTGAGACTTCTCTCAAAGACCTTCAATTAAGCTCTCTAGTTCTGCATGATGAATAATGAATTAGAAGTGTAAACTGATAGGGAAATGGTTGCCCTTTTCTTGGCAGTTCAATGCCACTGTCTGAAATCAAAATTTACAGTCATAGAAACAGAAGATTTAAGTTTCCCAACCCTTAGCTTTCCATTAGGAGAGATTGATTTATTGCTGTTTGTTGGGTCCTTGCTGCAGCTGAATTCTAGTGTTTTACCTGCAACCAGCAAAGCAGCCCAGACACGGTCTGGGAGACCGCTGCAATTACACATTCATGAACTCTGGTAGGTCTGCTGAGATGGTATTGCCTTTCACAGCACTTGCATAACCTACCCAAGGGCTAGGTTTGAGCTGCATGTGTTTTGGCTTAGACTACTGAGAAACTCACTAAATTGTGAGAATTATGCAAAATAATAAAACAAATAAAATTATAATTGCAGACAGAAGTGAGATTATAGATATAGGAACAAGGAACAGTTTAAGGACCCAAGAGGGTAAGCACCAGTGTAAAAAGATACAAAACTGTAAAGAAAATAGAGTTAGTAGAGAGCACTGTATGGGGGAGGCAGCAGGAGCCAGTCCATCCTCATTTAAATGACATGGCTTGATTCTCTTGCAAGAGTGGTGAACATACAACTGGCTAAAAACCTTGTAGCACTTCTTCCAGAGACTCCTTTTGCAGTTATAGAAATAAAACATCAGCCACAAAGCTTCTAAAGCTACACTTAGGTATGAATATTATCCCTGGTTGCCAGGTAACAATAAGTTTGATTGGTTTTTTTTCTGAAGTAGGGTTTTCATGTGAAAGCATCTTGAGGACTGTTTTTATAATATGAACACTTCTTTAATGTCTATCATGTCTATCATGATAGATTTTTGGATAGATAGACATTTACTGTCTATCATGTTTCCATTTAGTTTTTTTCCAATACTTCCATAAACATTCTTAAAAGTTCAGAGTAACAGGAAGTCCAATAAAAAGGCAAAAGGAGGAGTACATTACCTCAGCTATCTAAGCTAAAATGAAAGGTTGTCAGAGGTTTCTTCTTACTCTAGAGGGAGCTGAAGAATCAAGTCTGATTACATACAGACTTTGAATTGAAAGCATGTGAAATGATGCCATTAATTCAGGATGCCATTCATATTACACTGCACTACCAGAAAAACCCTGTAAGTGTTTACTCAATCAAAACACGTTAACAGAACTGAAAAGGTTTTAAAGTGAAGGAAAAGCTAAGGAAATTCTAAAATGAAAATTGGCCATTGATTTTTGATTTAGCTCAATCCTGTCTTAATATGTCTTATAACTGTTTGACAGGATACTATTTTTCCTACAGATAATGAAGCTCAGCTGGCACTGTTTATTCAACATGTATTTGTGTTTTTCTTGCTCAGTATGTGGTCATACATCATACTCAAACTGATCCTAGCTCTAATTTTGATAATGAATAGTTTCATTTGATATGTTTACATGGCACTTCTGCTACTCTAACACCCTATAATCTACCATAAATGCTGCAGCAGATGTTTGTATCATCCTCATGCCACAGATCTGAGAACAGGAGTAGAAGTACAGTAACACTGCCACATTCTGAAAGCATTCACTAATTTTGTACATCTAAGTGAAGAAACACGAGATATTTTCCTGCTCTACCAGCATTGGGGACTTTCGTATTTGGCACACAAATATACTTATGAACTTCTGTGGCCCTGGCACGTTCTTATTTTGGGCAGTCGATAAATGAAAAACATTTAATTTCTGAGTGCATACGTTGTGCCTGAGTCAGCACCTGAATAAAAATACTTGCTTTCTGTTGCCAAGTTGTGTATGAAAATCCTTATTCACATTTGGGCTGAAGGCTACCCCTGGGGAGAGTCAGGCCTATAATGTTCTGCACCCCTTAGCCCAGAATCTTGTAAAAGTTGATCCTGAAATTGTGCAGGATCTGCTGCTCAGCCTGGATCCCTACAAATCTACATGGCCTGACGGGACTCATCAAAGCCATTGGCTCACGGGTCAAGCACAGAGGATAATAGAGAACTGGAGACTTGCCACTAGCGGGGTTCTGCAGGGCCCTGCACTCCTCTAAATCTTTATAAATGACTTGGACACAGGACTGGAAGGAACACTAAGCAAGTTGGCAGACAATACAAAACTGGGAGGAACTGTGGATTCCCTTGAAGGCAGGGAGGCCCTGAAGAGACACCTTGACAAATTAAAGGACTGGGCAATCACCAACCATACATATGAAGTTCAACAAGGGGAAGTGCCAGATTCTGCACCTGGGATGGGGCAACCCTGGATGTAGATACAGACTGGGGAATGAGATGCTGGAAAGCAGTGCCAGGGAAACGGACCTGGGAGTTCTGGTTGATGGCAAGTTGAATATGAGTCAGCAGTGCCCTGGCAGCCTGGAGGGCCAACCATGTCCTGGGGGACATAAGGCAAAGCATCGCCAGGTGGGCAAGGGAGGGGATTGTCCCAATCTGCTCTGCACTGGGCCGGCCTCACCTGGAATACTGTGGGCAGTTTTGGGCACCACATAAGTAAGATATTAGGCTATTAGAGAGTGTCCAAAGGAGGGCAAAGAAGATGGTGAAGGGCCTTGAAGGGAAGCCACATGAGGAGCAGCTGAAGTTGTGTCAGGGGAGGTTTAGGTTGGATATTAGAAAAAAGTTCTTCCCCCAAAAGGTGGTTGGGCATTGGAACAGGCTCCCCAGGGAAGCCTGACAAGAGTTCAAGAAGCCTTTGGATGATACTCTCAGGCACATGGTGTGACTCTTGGGCATGGTCCCGTGCAGAGTAAGAAGCTGGACTCAATGATCCAACTCAGCATATTCTGCGACTGACAAGGCATCCCATCTGCCTTCCCTACACAGAGTCCTTCACAGAAGAACAAAAGGACTGTTCTAGCCCAGTCTTAGCCCATCTTTATACATTACTGGAATGAGGTCATACCTGAATCCTCACTTTGACCCAGGCATCGTTAAAAAAAAAAAAAAATGACCTAAAGAATCCACCTGCCAGAATGCCCAGAATTCATCTCTGATGACCTTTGTTCTTGACTGAGCCTCTCTGAATCATATACAAACTCATATACAAACTCACTGCTGGTGTCAGAAAAAAATGATTCCTCCAGTTTCCCCATTTTCTCAATCATCAGAACACACTTTCTTTGTTACCCCTTCTATGTCTACTTATATACCCTTAAGCCTTGTAAACTGATCAATGAATCAATCAAGACTCTTACTGGCAGAAGCCTCATTTGCTGATGCATCTGCAGCAGGTGAACCTACATTTGGAAGGAGGAATTCTGTTCAAGAAAAAATACGAAATTATGTAAAGATATATTTCTATGGGGTTTTAATTGATTTTCCTGTCTCTACAACTCCAGCATTACTGCTCTCTGCTCCGACCTACCACCCTCTGTTCTGCTTCTCTTTGCGCTGTCTCCTGCAGACCAAATGTGTCTCTACATTTGCCCAAGGACAGCTCATGCCTGAACATGGGAAGCAGGCTCAAGGCACCTTATTCAGTTCTATGTTCTGCATTTTCTTTACTATTATCCTCACCAGGAGGGAATAGCAAGATAATTTTTTCCTTTGCAAGATGAATTCTGTTTTTTCAGAGTGGGTCTTAGCCATGGAACAATAACAGAGGAAGCCGTAGCTATATATAGTTGACAATTTTTAAACTTAAATACTGTATTTTTTCCTTACATCATATTGATATGAATGTGGAGATTTTTTTAAGAGTAAAATTTAGAGGACTGTCCTGCCTTATGCATAACCTTTTAATGGAACTCTGTGTTTATGAAACTTTCGTGTGTGAACAGTTACTTTACAAAACAGAATGAACTTTAAAAAAAAATTTAAAAGGTCCAGGAAATGCTGTCATCCTTTTCTATACAGATACCTAAACCATAACTTTAGGGCTGTTCTAAACTATTTTCAGGGTCACCTTAAACAGTCCATTTGAAAGACACGCAGCAAACACTTGCTATCACTTTGCTTCTTACATACCACTCTTCCCATTTACAGCTCAAGCAAACTATTGTAACCTCATTCTGTTCTCCGCTACAGAATAAACTATGACAATACATACTCATAGTCTGTGCTACACACACAGAAAAAGTTAGATCTCCTGCCAGGAGGTGCTGTGCTGCGCATGTCACCTGCCCAGCAACCAAAGCATTTAAAGCTGTACTGCATTATAAGCTTTACATCAGTGAAGGGCTTCAAGATGAGGAGTTTAACTGGCTTCTCTGTGTCTTTTGACTGACATTACCCCTCTTTCACCTTTAAACAATCAACATCTGTCAACCTGATATGTGCTGCACAGCTGGTTCCTTTGTACCACTTCACTGCCTTCTCACTAGATCCATGTTGATGATAAAAGGAAACACAAATGCAATTAAGGAACACACAGTCTGGTGACTTTTATATGTTCTTCAACAGACTTACCTTCAGGTTTCAGACCCTTGTTCTTGGACGCGCAGATTACTGCAAGTCTGTGTTTCATGTGTCCATCTTTAGAGTGTATGAAATACCCCAGCTTTTGCTTCTTTGTAATTGCCCCAGTATAACTGGCAATACTTTTAATGGGCAGATGGATGTCTTAGCCGTGAAGCATTTACTAAAAAGACATGCAAAAATAGTCCTCCAGGGACAGATGTGCTGAGATAGTAGGTTTGCATTTATACTTACTACCTATGAGAAGCAGGCTCATCTTTCAGCCAAAAGAAGTGGTCATTTGTTACATAAACATTAC